GAGACAATGCACATTAATGCTAAAAATGACCATGGAGACAATAAACATAAATGCTAAAATATATTTTTAAATGGCACAATTATTTTCAAATATCAGCTGTCATTTTCCATTACAGAAAACCCATGTTTTTTGTTTTGTTTTGTTTTTTAAACAGGATCTGACTATCCCAGGCTGACCTGAATGTAACACAACATGTAGCTCAAGCTGGCTTCAAACTCAAGGATCTTCCTGCCTCAGCCTCTTGAGTGCTGGGATTACAGGTATGAACTACCAGAAATCACTTGCACCTCATGAATATCTAAATCAAGACTAATATTTCAATTGGTATGATGGCATATACTTATAATCCCGACACTTGGAAAGCTGAGGAACAAGGATCACTGACAGTTCAACATCCATCTGGGATACATAATGAATTCCAGGCTAGCCTAGGCTATAGAGTAAGGACCTGTCTCAAAACAAAACAAAAGATTGGTATTTCTGGTATAGGTTTTAAGCTTCTGGGGAAATTTAGGGAACAGCAAAAATTTAAGAACTCCATTTTATCTCCTGGTTTCTCTTTTTAAAGCATTGTTTCATATTTTTGTCCAGTATAAGAAAGTGAAGTTATCCTTAGTGACTATCATTTGGTTTGGTGATTCTAATTTACTCTCAGTCAGGAGCCAATTAGCTTTTTCCATAAAGGACCAAATAATAAATACTTTGGGCTTGCAGAACAGATGTTTCTTGCAATTATTTAACTCTGCCACTGTGACACAGAAGCAGACACAGACAAAGCCATACAAATAAGTAGCCATAGATAGTACATAAATTGATGGGTTTAGCTGTGTACCGATCAATTTGATGTACCCAAACAGGTGCAGGTTGACTCTAACCGTGTACTATAGTTTGCCACCTACTCTTCTATGTTTTCAATAAAGATGGGAAAGTACTCAACAGCTAAGATCCTTTCTAAAGGGATGTAACAAGCAAAGAGTGGTCTCTAGCCATGCTTCCATGTATACTTGAAATTGTGGATGGGGAAAGGGATGAGGAAGGACAGTGTGATCAAACAGATAGGGAAAAGTGAAATCCCTCACTTGAAAATCAGTAGTTGATGGGAGATAGCTGCGGTCTTCATGACTCCCTCTTGGTTCTTAGAAAGAAGTAACCCCCTCCCTGCTGTACTGCTTTCTGCTTAAAGCTGAGGGAGCTCTCTCCTCCTCAGCTATGCAACCCACCAAGGCTGGAAGTTTCCGTGGGTCTTTGCTCAACACTAAAGAGTTTCAATTAGTTCCATGAAAACCAACCAAAGTGACATAAAAGAGGGGCCACTTTCCCACGCTTTGTGAATCACAGCACTCCCTTCAGTGATATTAGAAGGGAAAGACGGGCTCGTACCTCTTCCTGTTGTATCAGTTAGTGACATCTAGAGACCTGTTTCGGTTGTCAGAATGGTGGAAGGATGGCTGGCTGGTACCTGATGGGCAGAGGTTCCAACCTCAAAACCTCCCTCCCCCGCCCTGGTTGAAAAATCCCTGAGAAAACAACATCCAGCAGGGCAGTAGGGGAAAATGAATGTAGCTCAACATAAAATTGTGGAGTTACTTAAAACAGTATAAGATTCTGAGGAGCTTGAGCTGTGTGGATGACGGCATGTAGTAATGTCAAAAAGTCAGACATACTTGATAGACACTGAGAAACAGGACTTTGAGCCCTCCTGCCAAGCTTGTCTCTTCATCTTATTTCATGGCCCAGGCTTCGTCCATGATTTGGTCAATATGGCCACCACTCCTTTCTTTTAGGAGAGAATATTGAAAAATGTTAATCATAAGAGTTGGAAGCAAACTCAGAATAGCACCTTACTTGGATGGCTATTGTCAAATGCTACTCTTCTCAAATTTTACTTCACATACAAATCACCTGGGTAGATAAGCTGCAGGTTCAGCCCTGGCAGAACTGGGTGCCTGCATTATGGCTTTGCATTTGCACTGGTACTACAGGCCTAAGGGAGTCCCAGCCAAACTGTTAGCAGAATATAAGGAATGGTCCCTACCCTACACGTGATGGAGTTACAGTCCACTAAAGTGAGCTCACTTCTCCCAAGGCACACAGATAGAAATTCTAGAAAGTAACTGTAAAAGAGACTTCCTGGACTCTCAACCTAGTTACAAGACCCACTTGTCCTCTGACACGTCAAATCATCCTACAGAGACATGTGAGCTGTGAGCAACCTACCTCCACTGTACACAGCCTTGCTTTTTTCCTCCACCTCTTTAATAACCTGTGGAAACATCTGCCCCAGGCAAAAACTCAGCTTGGCAACTCTCTGGAGAAAGTTCCTTTTTGACCCTGTACACCACCCAGCACCCATTCCTGGAACTGTCTTTCGGGGAACCAGCTGAAGTTTGAGAAATGGCAGAAGAGGAAACCTGTTCATCCTGAGAGCTAGCTGCAATTTCTGCTTACGTTTGCATTGGCTGGAAACAGGTAACGAACATGGAGCCCCGCAGAGAGAAGGAATCTTCTATCAGCAAGCGTGTTTGGATGTGTTTTCAATTTCTCTGACAGAATCTGTTTGAATTGAGGGCATGTTTAATCTTTGAAATAATGTGTTCCATAACAAATGCTCCCTTCATTCTATGAGCCAAACCTTGACTAAAGGGGTTTGGAAATCCTTACAAGGTGCTCTTTGCTTACTGCCCATTCAGAAAGGAAAAAACAAACAAAAAAACAAAAAAAATTCTTTAATGAAATGTAATGTTGAGGAACTGCCAAAAGTAGAAGCTCCCTATCTGCCTTCACATAGCTTCTTTCTAGTCAATTAGCTGCCAATGAACTGAAGAAGGGCTATAAGCGCCGGCACGCCAGCATCATGAACATAGCCCCAGGCAGAGATGGAAATTTCTGGTCCTGACTCAAACCTAAAAATACGCAGGAAGCCCATGCATAACCCAGACTTTATTTATAAGATCATTGTGGCTGAGTTCCCAGAAGTAAGACATAGGGGTTGCCACATTTGGGACAACTCCTGTTTGTTCATTCTCGCACTTTGGTTTTTAGCTACATCATATTAAAACAAAATATCTAAGGCCCACAAAAGGCGGTTCTTGCATTCTATCAGCAGACATATTTTTATATTAACATAATGCTGGAGATATTTTTCTGCTTAGTGGGTATTGGATTTTATATTGTCTGAAAATAAGCAACGTACACACATTCTTGTGTTTCATGAAATCTTGTCCCAGATTTCAAACTAATCAATGAATTTTTCACTATGCTTTCATATTCATGTTTTTCTCCCTAAGCTAAGATAAAGCCACACAGAAAGTTTTCTTCCAAGTGATTTCTATAACTTCCTGCTAATTTGAAATTATCAAGAAATTGTTTCAAAGCTATTAAGAGGTCTGATTTGGGGGATTTCTGTTTGGAGGAAGGTGTTTTTGTTTCATTTTGATTTTTTGAAAAAATGATTACAGAAGCTGAAAAGAGAAGCAATTGGCTAACCAATCTGTGTTTAAGAAATCTTATAATTAGTTAAAGTAATGTATGTGTTGTTTACCAACACAAATCAAATTTCTAATTAAAGGTACTGAAATGTCTTCAAACTAGAAGAAAATAATAGCTGCCATGTTATATGCAAAACACTTAACAGTGATTATCATGTTGAATTCTCACAGCCATGCTAATAATGGGTGAAGGGCAGTAGCTCCATCTACAGAGATAGGGAAATCCAGGTTCTAAGTGGTTCAATGCAGTTGACAATGTTACACAGCCAGGTCTGGATGGACTTGGAATACAAGTGCAGTCCTGGCATCTTACATTAATGTGACTCCCTGAACATCCAATATTGAAATTCTGTTAGGCCATAACAAGATCAAGGAAATTTCCAGGTAGGGCTTTAAATGTCTATGATATACCAATAGCCTGAGTTCCATCTCCAACCCTCCCAATACCCCTGAACTCTGGACTTGAATGATTAATAGGCACTTCTCCTTCATTAGTTACAATATGAAGCTTCTTGCCTTGTCTCACCCATCTCCGTCACGATATCCAATCCACCAACACGTCTACTGGCTCTTCCTTGGCAATCAATCCCTTTATTCAAGAACTTGCCTGGGGCAAGCCTCTATTCTTGCTCCTATACCCAGATTCTTGACTTCTAAATGATCTAAGAGCCATAATGGTTTGTGGGCAATACAAGTGATATTATGCCACTCCTCTAAATCCTGAGTTGGCCCTTCAAGATCCCAAGGCATCTACTAATCTACTAATGACTGCTCTCCCTGGAAAGGAAAAAAAAATTCAGATCCTTCTACTGCTTCCTCAGTACCCACCATATCCCATAGCCATTCACCCCTGGTGACCCTAGTAGTCTGGGCCTGCTTCTTAGGACATTTGCGTTTGGTGCCTCCTCTGTTAGGATGCCCTTCCCCAAGCTGGTTCCATCTCTGAATCAGAGGGGAATCCTATCATAAATATTAAATGGTAGCTCTTCTGAGTCTTTCTTCATTTCTTCTCTTTTTCAAATTTCTTTAAAGCTAAAAGCTTTCTTTTTTTTTTAAAGAGAAAAACGAAAACAAAAAAACCCAAAAAAACCATCAGGGAAGACATAATGCAAGTCCATCTGCTTCCCAAGGAACAGAAAAAAACTTCTGTTAGAATAAAGGATGGTAAGTCAAGCTGTACTCTCCAGTCTTCCAACAAAGACAGATACACAGATGGCCTGAGGACAGTGATCCTGCCCCATCCTTGGAAATTAAGAGACCCAGTCTGAATTTTGATTTGGTCCTGGTGCACTCTGCCAAGAACAAGGGATTTTAAAGCCAACCGAATTGACATCACAATCTGCATAACAATCTTAATACAATAGGTCTCACCTATGACTGAATGCATCAGCAACCTTTAATGGGAGATTTCCACAGGACTTACTGGGAAGAAGCATGCAGCGAAATCACCATCTCTTCCTTCTGCAACATGTTTGTTAAGGACTCTGTGCTTGTTTTCTTTTGAAAAATAGATTTCAAACATTTAATTTTTAATAAGGTGCCAATGTTTACACAGTGTTATAATTCTTTAAAAATCCAACACATTGTTATGTTGTTGTTGCAAATTCAAATGTGAATATATCTCATAAAAGTTATACATAGGCTCATTCCGAGCACACCTAGGATGGCAAATAAACAGTTATTACCATGCAGATGAAAATGGGGATCTAGTTCATGTTTACCAAGTCAGATAGACACACTCTTTGCGTACGTAAATCATTTCAGAGTTAGAAGCTATCTGATAAAGCACTGCCTGCCTAAAATCCAAATAAGGTTGAGTGTTCCAATTACATGGAGAGTCTGTCGTTCTCCTCTGTGAGTTTCTTGTCTTCTCCAGCACAGCACTGGATAATAAAAAATGAAGCCAAATATGCACATGTTCATAATTCAAAGCAATCCATTCTCATCTAAATGAAACAAACTGTTCTCAAATTTCCAGTCTCCATGACTTACTAGGCTCCAAATATATCTGTTTGCATGTCTTCTCCTTGGTGAGGCTGTTGGGAAGTGCTGAACAGAGCACTTTGAGATTGCCTGATGCTAGAAAACAGCAAGAGCTGAATAGAAGATTTCCTTCTCGCACATTGCCTATCCCTAAAAGTCACAGAAACATCTGCATTCCCTCGGGATGCACTGAAAAACTGCAAGAATAAATCCGCATGTCACTTTTGGGATAGCCTTCCTTCTGTGTTCTATGACCCATTTCCTTAGCAGAGAGGGAATGCAAGAAACAGGTGTGAGGCTTCATTAGAGAACATCTCTACCGTGTTTCTGTTTTGTTTGATTTTACCATTAAGAATGGATTCAGGAAGACTCCAGAAAGTTTTACAAATGCCTGAAGATTTTGCTTCTGGAAAAGGGGGAAAAAGAGAATATGCTGCAAGATGTATATTTCGCCTCCATGTTGCAGGTCTCATCAGATCAAAAAATAAAGTGGACAGAGGCTCTATATTGGGATACAAGTAACCGCAGTCTCTCTACCTGGGTACTTAAGTATAACACAGTGTGGGGAAGTATGTTCCCCTGGGGGCCTATGCACTGGGTAAATGAACCACGGAGCTGAAGTGGGATCCTTGAGTAGACCACTGTGCCAGTCCCCAGAGCACATGCCCCAACCTTAACCTTAAACCGCCTATCTGATCATGGCTTTGATCCGCAACCCCACATTGGGGGATCAACTTGCAAAGGAAAAGAAGGCTGGATTATTTAGTCCAGTCACATTTTCAACTATTTGCATGAGCTCTCGGGAAGCTCAGTGGTAAGCACTGGGAAGAAAGACAATGTTCTAATTTCCCCTTGGTAACTTTGGCTCAGAGTAAACATTCCCTTGTCCTCCTCCATGCACTTTTAGGGATTAAGGGCAATTCTGGGGTTTCACTGGCTTTTGGCTATCTTGCATTAGTTTAGGAACTATTTGCTTTACTAAAAGGGTCTTGTGGATTCTAGAAGGCCACGCTATAACTAATACTCTCTTTCCATTACAAGCCAACTCTGAGGGGAGCCACCTGTCAAAAAAAAGAGGGGAACCACATGAAGTAATCTTTCACTCCTGGATTTACAGTGCAAAAGAACTCAGTTTCAGTTACAAATGTTTCATTCAAAAACCTAATAACTTTAACATGAGGATCTATTACTAACATTCACATGCTATGAATGAAACAGTGAACTTTATTCTAAGAGCAAAGCTTCAATTCTCTAATATTATCTGGTTATTTCCATACTGAAGTACCTATTTGGTGTAAACTCAGAGTGGAACATTTCATCACAGAAACAAACAGTTGGAACTACAGCTTTCCACGGCTTTCAGCATGATCTGACTTAAAATGTTTGGATCTCCAGAATATGTATTTCTTATAACAATGGGAGGATTCACAAAAAACCATTTGTTGCTAGGGTTTTATTCAAATGAATTTGCATTACAGTTGAGAAATGATGGAGTTGGCTTAGGAGTTAGTTCCATGTCAAATCAGAGAGAATGGGTAGGAAGCAAAATGGTTACAAGAATGTTCGGAAAGGTTGTTAAGGATGAGAGGTTAAAAAAAGACACGACAGGGACATGATGATGGAATTTAATGTGACAGATACATTCCCTTCCCGTAAAGCAATCCCCTTCCTCATTAAGAGGATCAAAATTTCATTCAAAGACTAATGTATCTAACTAAACATTTTCCTTCCCAGACTCACAACTGAGAGAAGGGAGCATGTGACCAAATTCCAGCCAGTAGTTCTATGCTGAACATCTCTAGGAAAGCTTTGCTTTGCTGATATACACATTTCACCTCCTTACTTGCCTCATCCTCCCCTTCCCTACACAGAAAAAAGACATGATACCTGGCAGCTCAGCAACATTCTTAAAATTATGAGGCAATAAGCCAAAGGAGAGAGGATAAGGAAGGTGAAAAAGAAATACCAAAGGAATGGCGATCCCTAGTGATAGTATGGAGACAGTTCTGCATGGCCATTTCCCAAGTTTCTTCCTCATCCTCACTGTCAATCTGTTACATACAGTCAAGTGCACGTGAACTGGATACATCAATATCCAATGACAATGAAATTGAAAAGGATGAAGATGATGCAATAAAAGAGGACAATGACTAAATGAAACAGCAAGTGACATAAGTCTTGCACAAACCATGCAATGAACCTACAACCCTTTGATGCTTTCCTGCAAAAAAGACAGAAGTGCTGACTAAAACAACAAAAGTGTCATTAAGTTCAAATACGAAGATACCCGATGCTTAAATTGGCTGTATAACATGTAACTCTGTCCTGCGCTATGATCGCTAGTATAAAAGTACATGCTTACGCATTAAAACTAGACATGTTGTATCCTACAGAGAAGAGAATGGAACAGATTTAGAATCAATTTAGTATTTCTCTTGTAATCCATTTGGAGGAGTTCCCACTGAGAACTCATATGCCTTACCCTCATCACAGCTATACCTCAAAAGACCTGAGAGGAAAAATAAGTAGAAACACTGGGCGACGGGTTTTGAGTCTTGCACATGCTACTTGGAAATTAAAACACACTACAGCAAACTCGGAGCACATAGGCCACAATCCACACAAAGTTCCACACTGATCAATATTTACGAATGCAGAAGCAACAGTATAAATAAATAAAGCCGGTGCAATGGGGATGCAAATCCATGATGAGGTATATGTCCCTTCAAAATAAGAACAGGTCCCCTTGCATGAGAGGAAACTCCACACAGCACCACATGTTCAACAGTTCACGTTCAGTCCCAACGTACTGGTCTTCCATAGAGAAATGGTTTCTTCATGCTCAGCGTGGTGGGCACCTCTGATATTGGTTCAGAAACTGATAAAGAAAGAGAACAGTCTTAAGAACAAGAACAAGAAATGAGAAGGTCATGAGCAGACCCACTGGGGTATGCTTGTAGCTTGCAGTGTATATAACTTTAACTTCCATTTTGCTTCCAACAAAGTAAGTGCAATGTCTTCAGTATGATTCCATAACATAGCAGCAACACTTCGGGAACCAATAAATAAGGACATGGCATGCTGATACCCCCTTTGGCTTCTGAACTCAATGCTTCACATGTACTCCAAAGTTATAAACATCAGCCTTGAGTGAAGGGGGTCAAAGCTTCTCGTGTTCCATGTCCTCTTAGAAATCACATTATGTACCTTCCCACATGCCCCCAAAGCAGTGAGTAGACTCACTAAACAGCATAGTTTGTAACTCATCATGGGCTAAATACATGCCTATGTATTTATGGTTTTGCCTTTTTTAAAGTTTCATCTTTCCTCACTTCTCAAACAAGGCATTCGTTTCTGCTGCCCCAAGTACAAGGTTTATCACTGGGATCATAATGTAGTATTTGATTATTTCTTTTAAAATTATATAGTCAGTGATCTTTAAAAATAATTGCCACCTTATTGCTAATTAAACATGATGGATTCGGGGTCTTGGTTTGCCATCTGGGCCATGTGTCTCAGAACATCCTTTTTCGTGATGATCCCAAGAAGTCTCCTGGAATGGAAACAAAATAGAAGAAAGAAGTCAGCCAGACAAGACAAGACACATCCCTCTCCCTTGGCTCAGTGCCTTTTCCATTTGGGCTTAGGGATAGGCACAGTTTCCCACCTTCCCTTCTGGTTCAGCAAGCTCAACAGAGTGAGCTCTAGCCATTGGTCCACACACAAAGGTCACAGATGCCACTTCCAGGTCTCCTGTATATCTTTCCTCTGTCCCTCTCTCAACTGGAAGCCCAGGACAGCAGAATGAGGGAAGGAGTCTGAGGCCCAAAAGACTGACTTAGAAATCACTAGAATCAATGATTTGGGTCCCTGAATGACTGTGATGAAGAGCCTGTACCTCTGAACTATATAGGATTTAATGTGTGAGAAAAATTAACCCTGTTTGTTTGATTGCTGCTTGATTGCTTTGAGGCAGAGCCTCCCTCTATAGTCCAAGCCTAGAACTTGTAGCTAAGGATGGCTTCAAACTCTTGATCCTCCTGCTTCAGCCTCCCAAGGACTAAAGGTGTGTATCACAATGTCTGGTTTCAGAAATAAAAATTCATTGCATTAGGTCACTGAGACCACAAACTTGTTTGTTTCATAAGCTGTAGACCTACAGTGCATAACACACTGGCTTCAACTTTATGATTAGAATCAATTTACAACAGGCCCTGAAAGCTATTGTCGAAATTTGACTATACCATAGAAATTCTGAGTATATGGGTTTTCTTAGTAGAGAAATTAAGCCAGGCAAGTTGGTGGCATGTCCATAATCTCAGGACTCAGGAAGCTAAGACAGCAGAATTATCATGTGTTTGAGGTAAATCTGAACTACAAAGTGAGTTCCAGGACAGCCTGAGATACAAAGTGAGATCCTCTGAAAAAGACCAAAAAAAAAAGTACCTACACTAAAAGATCAGCAGTTAGCATAGACAACAGATACACAAAGGTGTCACTTAATAGGCTAGTTCTCGCTCTCTCCCCCTTCCCCCCCCCGCCGCCGTGTGTGTGTGTGTGTGTGTGTGTGTGTGTGTTGTGTGTGTGTAATATGTATTTGCTCATGTATGTATACACCTCTGCACGCTGGTACCATTGTGTGGAGGCCAGAGGTTTATTTCATTCCTCATTGTTTTTTCACCTTATTTTGTGAGACAGGATCTCACAGTGAATCTAGAGCTCATCAACTAAGTTGGGATAGTTAGTCAATAAACTTCAGGAATCCTGTCCCTTCTCCATTCACCCCCAGTACTAGCTAAAAGATGTATACCATCACACCAAGTTTTTATGATAGTGCTGGGGATCTGAAATGCAGTCCTCATGCTTGCACATAAGAAACTTTACCAACTGAGCCAGCTGCCCAGCCCCCAGGGTTTTTTGTAGGGCCACAAGAACTGTACATTTTATAACCCCAGGGAACAGTGCTCACAAACACTGGAATGTAAATATTGTTCCCATTTGCACAACCATTCACACCAACCTTTGCTGCATCCTTTTATTAAATACTTAAATAACAACCCCTGAGACCACATCATGCTCCCCTTGGGGGAATGGATGGTTCTAAGAAGAGGATGTAAAGAATTTCTTTGGAAAAAAGTTCCATTACTGAGTAGATGTGAAAGTAACTGTTCATTCTATCTCCATCACACTAAAGCCTCTCCTTGGAATACTGTGTAACTAGGAAAACGACAGGCCTCTACCAAATGGCTGTGTAAAATGATGGCATACCAAAAATCATAAAGCACAGATACAATGTACTACAATTTAACTCATGCTGAATTAGCATAAGTCATGCTTTACCAGGCAGTACTTAATATGAAGAAGGCTGCATGTGTCCTATACATGTCACCCCGCCTGGTGAACAAATTGGGCTGTCTCTGACCACACTGAACCTTAAAAAAATCTAGAAAATGAAGTTTCTTTGTGGCATTTCTTTCCTTGTCTATCTCTTTAGGAGAGTAAATAAACACTGTCCCCTCCCTTCTGCGTCATGGGCACAACTTTAACAGGGAGGAAAGCAGTCAAAGGGCCCTCTAAAAGTATGTTGGAAGCAGCTGAGGTAGGAGAGCCTGAATGAGGACAGGGCCAGGTAATGCATGTGTAACATAAGCTACTTATGGCCTCTTGTCTTTGGTCATATTATGCCTTACATTTAATGTACTTTAAAAAAAAATATGTGTATCCATGTATTTCCTGCACGTAGTTACATACACCCGTGTTGTGCAATGCCTGCAGAAGACAGAAGAGGCTGCTGGATCCCCTGGAACTGGAGTTATGGACAGCTGTTAGTTGCCATGTGGGTGCTGGGATTCAAACCCCGGTCTTCTGCCAGAACAGCCAGTGTTCTTAACCGCTGAGCCATCTCTCCAGCCCCAATATGCATAGAGTCTTTCTATATAGCTCTGGCTGGCCTCAACCCGCAGCACTTCTCCTGCCTCAGGCTCCTGAGTATTGGGACTGCCAGGCATATACCACCACACCTGGAGAAGTATACTTCTTTACCTCACAATGTAGTAAAATCGAAGCTGTCCATGAAACTAAATGCTACTCTACCAAATCTGCCAAGCTGAGTTGGCATCTGGGCATCACCCAGCATGGGCTGCTGTAACAAAATGTGGCAGTTGAATCAAAGTGCGAGATCACGGAGCCAGCAAGGCCAGTTGCTCCAAGGCTTGTCTTCTTGGCTGACAGAGGACATGGCGGCGTTCCTGCTGTGTCTTCATAAGGCCTCCCTTCTATATGCAGATACCCCTTGGAGTTCTTTCTCTACTTTTAAGGATACCAGTCATGTTGGGTTAGGGATCTACTCTACTGGCCTCATTTAACCTTAATTACTTCCTTAAATGCCCAATGTTCCCCACAGAGCTGTCACAATGGAGGTTAAGCTTCACCATAGGAATCGAGAGGGAGAAATCATACAGTCCTAAGCAGTACTTCAACTGCTTGTGGTGGATAGCTGTGGTAAAGCAATTCCTTGGAATGCTTCCCTTGGTACACTACGTAAAATTCTAAAACTTGCACAATGTACAGAACTGAGTTAAATGAATCTTGTGTGTTCCCCATGTGGCAATCTAGTTCTCAAACAAGGCACACCTAAAGGAACCAGGTTCTTGCAATGAGATGCTGACTTTTGCTGGGAACCTGTCTGCAAGTGTGAAAACGGCCAAGGAAAATGAGGAGCTTTAGGCTCCTCACATGGGAATGTGGCTTGGTTAAGCTCCTGAAAAGCAGCTCCTGAAAAGCCTCTTTTCTATCTTTGTCTCAGTTTCTTGGGGATTAACTGCCATAACAAGGGTTCACTGCATTCATACACAAGAGGTAACTATTTTCCCAGGTACACTAATTACCCAGTATTTGGCCAACCATCCTGTTTCAGTGGAAGCATCAGTGAGTCTGTCTCACTGAAGATGCCTTGGACCTTGGCAGTCACACATGAATGCTGAAAAGAACAGACTAGAGGCCTGAGGCATGTCACAGGTTTGGAGGCCCATGTCTCTGATACATTATGTTCACACTCTGGTGATACTAATTTATCTCAATGGTATAGAGCTAGCAAAAAGAGGCAGTTTCCATGATGAGAGGGGTCACTATTTAAAGTCAAGTGGGAATGTCCAGTGAGTAAAATGAGTCCTAACCTTAGTCTATATGACACGCTCCTCCCTTCTGTGCTCCAGCATGGCTTTATTTGTGTTTTCTCAACCTTGACTTTAGTGATAACTTGGACAGAACTATCTGCTACTTCACTGCTGCTCCCCGAGCAACTGTGACAACCAACATTTCTCCAAACACTGCCAAATGTCATCACTTATTGAAAGGTCTACCCAAACTAAAGGTACTAACCATTCTCAATACCCATGGTATTTTCTCAATACCCTTTCTCAATACCCTTTCTCAATACCCATAGATAGAGATAGCCTATAATATACCCCACCACCATCATATCACTTCTATAACCCACTAAACCCATCAAAATAGCAAAGGGTCACTATAGGTACACTTTCAATATCCATTCTGGCTGAGTAAGAGTGATGCTCTGGGTGTGGTGGCACATGCCTTTAATTCCAGCACATGGAAGGCAGAGGCAGGCAGATCTCTGGGAGTTCGAGGCCAGCCTGGCCTAAATAGTGAGCTCCAGGCCACCTGGGGTTACAGAGAGAGCCTATATCAAAAAGTCAAGTAAGAGTGATGCTATGTGGCAAATACATAATACACTATCACTATAGAATATAGGGATCTTATGATGTAGCCCTACATTCTCTACACCTCATTCAACAGGTGTCCAATATTTCAGGACTCTGCATCAGTGGACATGATACTGCATATCTTCCATCTGCTACCTCCCCAGACCCACTCTTCTCTCTTATTAAGAGGCTACTGTGTGGAGGGCACTGAATTCCTTTGGAGTCTCAGTCAGCTGGCAATGTCCTCCACCAGAGACCGTTGATGGCACCTTTTACCATAGTTCTTAGATTGTGGTAGCTGCCTGTGCCTCAAGAAATTGGAAAATTAGAAGGACCCTAGATGAAACTGGCTCTGCAACCAATTCTCTTTAGCCTTGAGCAAAGTATTTTGCCTCTGTTTGAAAAACAACAACAACAACAACAAAAAAAAAAAACTAAATGTCTATCACTTAACTGACTGATAAACAAAACATGGAGTTTTCATATCATGGAGTATTACTTAGGCAAAAAATGAATGAAGTACCAACACATGTTGGAAAAATGGATGAATCCAAGTGCCAATTGATAGAGGAAATAAATGAATAAACAAACTCTTTTATTTGTACAATGAAAAATGATACTGCCATGAACATAATATGGTACTGATACATGCCTCAATATGGATGAATCTTGAAAATACTATACCTACAAGTGGGAGCCAGTCACAGGATACACAATATATGACCTTGATGTGCCATGCCCACAGAGACAGAGAGGAGATCAGTAGTTGCCTGAGACTAGTGCAGGTTGACAGCTAAAGGATATAGGAGTTCTTTTTAAAGTGATAGAAATG